CTCCAGAATCCACACAAATTTGATTCAAAGTGTATTCCATAGCATTTGTGTTTATTTGAAAAGAGCAATCCCTAGAGTTTCTTGCTCGTTCTTCTCAGGGAGGTCAGCGTAGTGAACGAGCAGTAGCTTAAATGTGACGTTTGCAAGTGTAAATTTATTTTACCTATGGAATAAATAATCTTTGACTTTGACTTTGACTTTGCAAAAACGTGTGGCTAGGGCAACTTACAATCTGGACCTCAGAATGTCTTTGAAAGTTAAGTTTAAAGAGATTAACATTCTAACACTAGCGTCGTAGTAGATTTATGTAAATGTAACTTATGTTAAGAAGAATAATATTTTTTTTAATGAAAAAGATTGACAGACATAATATTAATACGAGGAATATAATTAAGCTAGCTGTTCTTGACAGTATTCCTAGTATTTTTAAAAGAAAAGTATTTGAACAGAAATTAATAAAATGTGTTCACTTTGTGTGAACAAATTTTTTTATTAAATTTGAGCAATTTCTGGAGTCCCAATTTTTCTCCCAATACAATAAAAAATAAAGCCCGTCAGCATTAAAAAAATTGGCAATTATATTAATTTTGTATGAAAGGCATTTGATTAAATTTGTAAAGTACAATGAGATGGTTCTTACATAAAACTGAGTGTATTAGCACTAAAAAAATAATCATTTTTAACCGAATTAAAAAAAGGACGAGGTTATAGGTTTCAGACGTCTCCGTCAATTGTTTGCCAATTTCGAAAATTCTTTTTTTTAGTTTGAAAGGACGCACTCTTGTGGTCCCATGGTCACTAAGCCAGAATCTGAAGAGGAGGATCCATGGAAATCGAAGAAAATCCTCAAAATTTAAAGACATGTACACTGGCATACAGATTTTGCCATGAATTGTGGAATTCGTTTAACGAAGGTAAACAACTCTTTTATGGGGAACTGTATACGTTTTTACGATAAGATTCCGGAGCATTGTATATTAAGTTTATCATTTCCTAAGTTTAAAAACTACGTTAAAAATATTTTGATCGAAAAATCATATTTCAAAATTGAAGACTAAGTGTTAGATAAAGATATTTGGAAAGACGACATGGCTCCAGAATCCACACAAATTTGATTCAAAGTGTATTCCATAGCATTTAAGTTTATTTGAAAAGAGCAATCCCTAGAGTTTCTTGCTCGTTCTTCTCAGGGAGGTCAGCGTAGTGAACGAGCAGTAGCTTAAATGTGACGTTTTCAAGTGTAAATTTATTTTACCTATGGAATAAATAATCTTTGACTTTGACTTTGACTTTGATCGATTTTGAAAATTCTTCTTTTGTTTGAAAGGGTATACTCTCGAGGTGGTCTCTGATGTTGTTCCGGGTTCGTTTCGGCTATCACAAATTACTACTTATTTTCCGCTTATAAAAGTTGACTTCTCACTTGACATCATCGTCACGATTTCCATGGGATCATGAGAGAATCCCATGGAAATCGAATGGTTTATTTTTTCAATGAAAAAGTTACTATTATTATTCATTACAGACTTGATGGTTCTTCAGACAGTTTTCCTGTATCTCCTATGATTTCGGATTTCCTCAAACAGTCCCACTTAACAAAAACAGAATAATACGTGACTTCGATTGTTATAGACATGTTATGGATATTATTTTTAACTTTAAAATGATCGAAAACCGAACTTAAGGCGTTTTCATTTAGTGTCTATAGTATTGGGGCTCGTACCCAATAAATAAATAACGCACACACTCATCATAGCCCCGCACTAGGGAAGCCCTGCGTCGCGGGTGCCATGGACACACACCACCAATTACACCCAAACTCACGAGAAAAGTAAATGTAGGCCATACAAATATTTTCTCCCGGCCCGGGAATCGAATCTGGGACCCCTGAGTGGCAGTCCGGCATGGTAACCGTCCGGCCACCAAAGCAGTTAATATGTAAACGTAGAATGTTCGCAGTAATGTGAGTTTGATGGGATTTCTATGGTTCCCAGAGTTACACTCTTCGGGTAGTTTGATGTTAAATATGTAACATAACATCCGGTCCGATGGTCTTTATTGTAGTAAAAATACACGTTAAATTGTGCATAATGTAGAGCTCGTACATAAAGCACTAATCGCAGAATCACTGACATCATCAAGACTGTTTGTTTTTTGATATAAAAAAGTGTGCATTTGACCACCATTTCACCTTTTTCGTTCTTTCTTTCTTTCTATCTCACCTGATAGAAAGTGACAATGAGATCGATAGCCGTTCGCTATATAAATTTAGAAGCAAAACGTTTCGTGTGAATCTTTGGAGTATCCACAACACAGGGGTGGAACCCTAATCTACGTCCCCGATTATGGAGAGGGGAAAGAGGAATTAAATCACGCAATTGTTAAAAACTGATCATAGAAATAACCTTACCTAGACTCACAGACGAACGCATGACACTCGAACGGGTTAAGCCCCTTCGCGGCTTCAGTATCCTTTACTATTATCATGGAGAATACTCTGGTGTAGACTAGATCCTGGAATTTGAGAAGTATATAGGTTAACTATTAGTTACGATTAAAAGCGAGCGGTAATGACAGGAGGGAATGAGACAACTGCAACACAAACGTTGACTTCTCAGGTGACATTGAAGGCGAACATACGCTATCCATTGTAAAGAATAGTGTGATTATACTGAATGCTCTCGAGGAATGGAATAAATTGGTTCTGCGCTGGGTTTTATGCCACTCTACCGTCAAGGTTAATAAGGCAGCGGATGAACTGGCAAAGGCCCTTTATAGGGTTAGCATACAACCTGGCAAAGATCACTATGCTGAACGAGGGCACACATGTCTCACGAGAAGTGAGGTTACAAAAGCCCTGATAGCTTACAGTGCCAAACACTGTAGAGTAGCTTTGTCATTGGACAGGAATGGCATCAGAATGCTCGCTAGAAACTTAACAGGGCTTGTGGCTTGCACAAGCACAATAGGGAGTGTAGATTCTGCCATGAGGTGGATGAACCTCTTGTGCATCTTCTCACCCAATGTTGCCCCTGCCGCAATTAGAGGACATAAAAACTGTCGGACTCAGGAAAATCCTCCAGTTCTTTAATGCTGTCGGCTTTGGCTCTGTAATTAGTGGTGATCACTATAGATCAGTTGATGGTCGCAGTGATGAGGGGCCGCAATAGATGCCAAATGAAGCTACCCTAATAATAATAGTCAGGCAGCCAAAATTTTACATCACGAGATCGCCCTGAAGTACAGACTAGTGCAATAGAGGATGCAGTATTACAAGTATTCACCGGAGTCAATACTCGAAAACGACCGCACCAAAATCTATTGGGTCCAATCAATTATCACAGGCAGGACTATTCTTGCGAATAAGCCTGACATTGTGGTACTGGAACGATCGCAATCGAGAGTATTTCTTGTGGACGTTACCATCGGACGTTATGTGGGCAGTATCTCGATCTGGCGCACGAGATCACTGGCATGCGGGATGTGGCCTCCACCGAAATAATTCAAATAGTTTTGTCCGCAAACGGGTTAATTCCAGTCAGCCTCGCTAGCAGTTTGAGGCGGTTGAATTTCTGTGGCGTGTCGCTTCCAACACAAATGTAGAAGGCGGTCCTGCTCAATACGGCACGTAATGTACGCCGGTTCATTAATCTAAGTCCCTGACTCCGGCCGACAGCGCCAATGGCGAGGAATACCGCCTCTCCCATTTAAAAATTCTAAATTTATCTTTTAGGCCATGAGAGAGGCGTTACATTTGTCACACTAAGCTATCTACCGACCCGAGAGATAGGGTTTTCCGGAGAGACTAGTCTAGACTACTCGACGGCAAGACCAGGGTAAATCGGGCGTCTGGGCCAAGCCCTCCGCCAGTGATACGCCTTTTGCGGGCGTCTCTGGTGGACCCGGACTTGGGTATGGACTCGCTGGGGTTTGTGGTTAGCTGCAGAGACGGACATGTTTGTTTACCCCGGTTGCATGTTGCCGGGGCGTCTGATGCGTCTTAATAGCGGTCTAGTTGAAGGCTTGAAGCAAGGAGACGCGCGGGGCACGTGAGTTGTCCCTTAAGACGTCGTTTTTCGGCGTAGGGAAGTGAGCGTGCCTTACAGCTCCGCCACCAATGAGGAGAGTTGGTAGTGGACTCAGAGTCTACGGCTTAGCGGTGGCAACCGCTAGTTGTGCAAAGTGCAACGGGAAATGAGCGTGCCTACAACTCCGGTATCTATCTGGAAAATAGGGAGGGTGCTGTACGTGCACCCGTGGCGGCTCACCCGAGGCACTAGCCTCTCGAAGAATCGGATGAAGTCAAGTGACAACCCTGTACACTGGCTGAACTGGGGTGAGAACCTGAACTTGAAAGGTTCCTGTGCGCGCACAGGTCATAGTGACCTTCTCGTAAATACTATTTTGTATCGTTTTTTTTTTATTTTCTACAATTTAAATTTAATTACTTTTACAACAATCAATTTTGGGAAGAAGGTGCAGGTCTGGTAGAGGTGAGAAATGGATAATCTTTAAACTTTATATGGAATTAAAATTGTAAGCAATGGAGTTTAGTTTAGCAGATGGAAAAAGATAAGGAAATATTATTTCTTAGGCTTTTGATAATTTTATAATTAATATAGATTTTAAGACATTTCCGATTATAGAATCAGGTTACCTATAGGTAATAACTTTTTAATCTTCTTATTATTATTGTTTTCATTTTAATTAGCACAAAACGATACCTCCAATGAACACTACGCCATCTTTATTTTTTGGTCGTCTTCTGTTATTTTTGTAAACAGCCATATTTATTTGCCTTAGTAAATAAATATGGCGGTTTAATATAAATATAATCTTAGTTGTGCTCCCCGAATTCTGTGAAAAAAACAAGAACAAAAAAAACGAATTTTGTAAAAAAAAAGAAACAAAAAACAATAAAAACAGAACAGGTCCAAAAATTAAGTTGGCTTAGTGTTCATTGGAGGTATCGAAAACTGCTTGTCGACTCTATGTATTTTATTTATTTTTATTTTATGATAAGATGCGGCGGGACGAACAAGTCATGCACTTCGCTTCAGGCCCTCAACTAGACCGCTTCTAAGATACGCTAGCAGCTCACGAGATAGACCCCCCGGCCGCACCCAACCGGGGCAAACAAACATGTCCGTCTCTGCAGCTAACCACAAACCCCAGCGAGTACATACCCAAGTCCGGATCCACCAGCGACGCCAAACGCGCAAAAGGCGTATCACTGGCGGAGGGCTTGGCCCAGACGCCCGCTTTACCCTGGTCTTGACGTCGAGTAGTCTAGACTAGTCTCTCCGGAAAACCCTATCTCTCGGGTCGGTAGTTAGCTTAGTGCGACAAGTGTAACGCCTCTCTCATGGCCTAAAAGATAAATTTAGAATTTTTAAATGGGAGAGGCGGTATTCCTCGTCATTGGCGCTGTCGGCCGGAGTCAGGGACTTAGATTAAAGAACCGGCGTACATTACGTGCCGTATCCGTGCCCAAGTCCGGGTCCGGAAAACCCTATCTCTCGGGTCAGTAGACAGGGACTAGAACAACGACGAGTGGGAATTTTCGCTTCCTGCATAATACCATTGCCATATAATGGTCATATCGCTGGGCTGCCTGCTCCACTCTCTACCTACTCCACGGGCCTACCATTCCTGCGTTCTCCGCGCACATGTGGTTTGCCATCACGACACAGCTACCACCGCGCTCCTGGATTCGAGAATCCTCGGCGGCCATGAACTTTATACGTGATGAATCGAGTGCCCTAGTGAACAAGTTAAGTGTAAAATCACTGAGCGACCTCTTCGTTGTACCCACCCGTGAGCTTTGCAAACCTACGTAAGTAAAAGTGTAAAACCATCCGTGCGTTTTCATTTCTAGAACCCAGACGTTTCAGGATAAGGGATTAATATAATTAAAGGTAATAGATTTGTACGAACCTGCACTCCATAAGAAATGCTTTCAATGTTAAAAAACATGCTCATATGCTGGAAATCTTCTTTCTTCAAGCCCATATTGACTGTCTCCATAAATACACCATCTACCGTGATCTTCAGTTTCACTATTGGCAGGATTTGATCTGGAAATAGAAGTGGAAATGGTTTTTAAAGATCTGGGCACCAATTCTACTAATTTTCTTAATATCACTAGGCATTGTAATTTCATCGAGACTCCACTGATATCATATTCCAATTATGATAATATTGCATATTACATCATCACCTTAGAATAATAACGCATAGAACATTGACTTACAAATAAATGGACGACGGGTCTAATACAAAAACCACGAAAAAAATGTCCCAAGTCAACTTATTCGAAATTTAAATTGTAATGTCATCGCAGTATCGCGCTGTCGGTAGAACAAATGAAGACTAAAGCGGAGTGTCGCGCTCTGTATACGATTTTAGCGCCTTACAAGTGCGGACACTTTTTAGCGCGGACCCGACGTCCATATAATTGTAAGTCAATGGCATAGAATGATAGTTTCATATCAAACGAACTGTCACAAGTGAGGCAAAAATCAAATTCATGTAGGCTAGTTTTAGTAGCAGGTTACATTTCGGTTTTAGTGAATATTTATATAAAAATACAAGTTGAAACGCGTTACTTCTTTGTGGAATGTGATGTTAGTATCTATTTTATGTTTGTCTGACGTATTTTTACACTCACTTACCGCACAATTCGTCATTTTTAGCTAAAATTCTTGATCTGTTCGCGGTGCAAGTTGACCTTGAGCACTGAAGGCCCGCCCGCTCGTGTAGGCCCTTTGGGCGCGCTTCAATTTGCCTCACTTAGCGTGTGCGGACTAGGTTTCTATGCGTTATTATTCTAAGATCATCACATACATACATCGAGTGTATAACTAGAAATAAACGCGAAATAAGGGCCATACATCCATGGCAATTCATTAGGCAAATGGGCCATATTATTATTATTATTATTAGGGTGGCTTCATTTGGGGCCTATGAGGCCCCTCTTCACTGCGATCATTCAATGATCTATTGTGCTCACCACTAATTACAGTTCGGAGCCAAGAACAACAACATTAAGGAACTGAAGGACTTTCCTGGCTCCGACAGTTTTTATGTCCTCTGGGAGTGGCCTGTGCCTACCCAGTACGGAACTTCTTACACCTATTCGAGGGCAGCACTGGGTGAGAAGATGCACAGAAGTTTAATCTGCCTCGTGGCAGAATCTACATTCTCTGTTTTCTCTCTGTCCAATATTTGACAAGTGCTTGTTCAAACCACAAAGTCCTGTTAAGGCTCTAGTTAGTGACAAAGCCTCTCGTAATATCATATTGTATCGTAATATATATCACAGGTAATATGCTTTTACTGTAATAATACAAAAAAAATATGTCAACATCTAAACCTTCTATTATGCAGTAGCATATCAAATAAGTATACTAATTTGTGTTTTGAAATTAGTAGTTTTGGTCATCCATAAGCAGCCACATTTCCTGTAAAAATTAAAAGTTACAAACATAGGAAATGAAACTATTTTTCCAGTTTTAAATCGTTTAAATAGTTTATTCTAATTTCTATTATTAATTAATAATAAATTGAACTTAATAAAAATTCATTCAATAAAATAATTTGTAAAACTGAATGTAGCGTAAATTGGAATGTTTTTTTTTGTAAAATAAAAAATAAGGTATTAAAATGTAATTAATAACTATTGTAACTTTAGTGAAAAACTAGGGCGGTTCGCATCAATATTAGACATAACTGGTTGAAGACTGTATCACCTCAGTCAACCGTGACCATGGGACCTGTAAAGGGCCCGAAACGTCGGTTTGTTTGAAAAAACAAATATAATAGTTTCATTTCCTATGTGTAACCATCGCGAAAACCTAAGAACTTGATAAGTTACAAACAATATGGCTGGCTGATACATGAATGAACACCCTATTGGAAAGAGACGCGTTGCAACTTTGAAGCCAGTTTAATATACAACTCTGTGGATGCAGTATGCAAATGCGCTTAGAATTTCTTGTTCATTCTACTTAGTAGTTTACGAATGAGTAGAACTTTACCAACCACTTGACATGCGTAACAGGAGAAACCCCTTCACGTTCCTTTGTCTTTATTCTAGTCTTCTAGTCTTGATGAAGAATACCTTCTAGACTTTAACATCAAGTTATATTGCGTGCATCTATTTTCCATGAAAAAAGGAAACTTTAATGCCGGTGGATTCGAACCAACGTCTTCTAGCAAACGCTATGCCGACTAAGCCACAGAACGGACCAGTGGACTATTATTATATATGTTGTATTAATAATTACGACAAACTAGTGGAGTAGGCAATTTCACATGAAATAATTGAATATTATAGTGGTTAAACACCTTGACATTCTAAAGGGACGTCTCTAGTCAGCTGCTGGTAGCTGTAAAGGTACCTGGCTGAGTGAAGAAATAAATTTCTCACAGATGGCGCTACGGCAAAAAAGACATATAATGTCATGTACATGTATAAAAAAAAAAAAAAAAAAAAAAAAAAAGACGTTTAATTTACTCTTTAGTATCTTTATTGACATATTTTCTACCTTTGCGCAAACGGAAATATTAAAGAAATAAAGTGGCCAGCCATTCTGACTTCAGGTTGGCTGAACCACTTTACGTTATTTATAGTTCTAGCAGTACGTGATTTACTTTTTTTATATAACTATTTACTAGCTAATTTCTACATAAACATACCTTTTTTTTTCACTATTTTAGGAAAAGTTATAGTACTAAAAAAACCGACCTCAAAAGTACGTGGAATTACGTCTATTTGCTAAGTTTTATTGAAATATCCTTAAATTCGACACTATACAGGACTTGACACTGGAGATAATAAAAATCGGTTCTCACTACTCAAAGTATATTGAGAGAAAAAAGCCTTGAATTGGAGAAATAGCAAAATCAACCATTAAAATAATTGCTCCTTAAGTAAAAATTTAGGCGCTATTTATAAAAATGAATCTTCATGCGTGAACAGCCACCCTTAGAGGTGGATGATTTTCTTCAAAATGAAATGGGACCGCTATGGAAGTACCCCCTTTCCAACAAAAAAAGAATCATGGAAATCGGTTCACAAATACCGGAGTTATGCGTAACATACATACAAAAAAAAACAAAAAGGACATACAGTCGAATTGAGAACCTCCTCCTTTTTTGAAGTCGGTTAAAATATAATAAAACGCCTTTGGAAAGCGTATCTTCCAGTTTGTCTCTGTAATTGCTAACAATACCTGTCCAGCCATCCTGGCGGACACGCGTCTAGCGCAGTTTGCTGGAAGACGTTAGTTCGAATCCAGCCGGATTGAAAGCATTTTTTTCTAAGTACTCGATCTTTGTATTAAAAATGATAACAAACTAGTGGACTAATTTCACAAAATATAATAGAACATTATGGTGGTGAAAATATCCTGATATTACAAAGAAAACTTTACCTGGAGGCAATGCCTTTGCTGCCGCTACCATGAGATCAACAGGCTTTCTCGTATGCTTGATTCCCCATAGACCTTTTGCGTCGCTCTGGCCTAGGTATTTGACCTGAAATATAGAAAGAATAACTATAGCACCGGTCTTTCCCTTACACTGACCATCTGCCTCCGACCGCAAGAACAGACCGCTCTCATCAGTGCACGCGTGTTGACGAGTTTTCGAGATTTCCCTAAACGCAACACTCAACAGCATCAGCGTACAGGCGTTCATCAGCGTTAAGATACCGGCAGTTCTCAAAATTGGCTTCACATACTAAAAATATCTCAAAATATAATTGATTGTCCCGAATTACTGTACAAACTCAACTTTTTGACTCCCACACGTAATTTCAGGGTTAACAAAGTATTTGACATACCTATAGCTTCAACCAATTAGAGAAAGATTTCGTTTCTGCTGCAAGCTTGCAACAACATCAATAACCTGGTTAATAGAATAGATATTGATATCTCAATACCAAAATTGTCACAGCGAGAAAATTACTCAGCGACTTCTTTTTTATTTCTTAGGAAAGTCTTGTTATAAAGTTATATTGTAAAATTCTATTTCTATTGATTTTTTATTTTTTTATTAGAGTACTTACTTATTTAAGTTACTTTATTTCTACAAGTGTAAACTTATTTAGCTTACTTCGTTGTTTAATTTAGAAATATGAATGTATATACTTCTAGTTTACCATTAATAAATAAATAAATAAATACAAATTTCAATATATTCACAAAAAATGATAACATTGACAGAGACATTTCAAACAAAATACAAAAACTTACAAAAAAGAAAATAAAATATGGGAGGCCGGTCGTCTCAATTGTACTCAGGGCTTATTGAAAACCAGCGCCACAGCTGAATGAAGTTCCTTTATAACAACTGACACAAATGACAGTACAAAATTTGTAGTCGTTATAATTTGTATTTTGCTTTTT